TGAATCCTGAAACATGCAAATTAGATATGAAACAACGAAATTAACAATGCAGGTACGTTTGCACGGGTCCCGGGGGGGTGTCTTCGGTGGCCACCGACCCCCCCGGGACCCCGGTGGCCCCCTGCATTGTAATTAGAGTTAGAAAGGGAGAGGACAAAGGAAGAAAAAAGAGAGAAGTTTTACATCTATTTAGATGTTACACACACACACCCGGCCGGAGCCGGGTCAACCCTGAAAGGCAAGAGGAAGAAAAAAGCGGACACACGACGGGCAGACGGCCAAAACAGCGCGGGGGGGGAGGGGAACAGACGGACCTCCAGAACCAACCTACACGGCGAAACGGACCTGACAAAAACAGCGCACACACCTAAACCCAACAACACGTTACGGAGAGGCACGCGGGGAAAGATTAGGGACCAATGGGGAACTAGTTGATGCCAGACAAAAACCAAAACAATTAATTAAAACAGGACCCAGTTCCTAGACCTACTGTTCGTGCGATTGTGCCACAACAGGCCCGTGTTCCAGTCAGCCACAAGGGCATAAAACGGCTTTCAAGTTCCATCGAATTAGATGCACAAAATGTTTAACCTCACCAGACAACCATCAAAAAGAAGAATACCACACCTGCAAGACGTGGGCCTGCCTGATTCATATGTCATGTCTTGATGCACTTTCGCTGCAAACGTTGCTGCAAAAAACGGAGGTTTCTGCTAGTTCGAAGTGGCTTCACTCAATAGAGATGCATTCACTGGGTTCATAAAGGACAGCCGGAAACGCGGGACATCACAAAAGGTGCAAAACGGAAAGGCCAGCTGTTGCACATTACTTAAACGAATTACTGAGTTAAAATGTGTGAATTCAGAGTTCAAGACTGTCGACACTCACCCTGAAAAGGGTTGCCTCAACTGGCTCCATGGCACCATGTCGGAGCCACCATGGAAATCACACTAGACAAGAATGGATCATTATATGATCCGGCAGGAACTGAATCCTGAAACATGCAAATTAGATATGAAACAACGAAATTAACAATGCAGGTACGTTTACACGGGTCCCGGGGGGGTGTCTTCGGTGGCCACCGACCCCCCCGGGACCCCGGTGGCCCCCTGCATTGTAATTAGATTTAGAAAGGGAGAGGACAAAGGAAGAAAAAAGAGAGAAGTTTTACATCTATTTAGATGTTACACACACACACACACCCGGCCGGAGCCGGGTCAACCCTGAAAGGCAAGAGGAAGAAAAAAGCGGACACACGACGGGCAGACGGCCAAAAACAGCGCAGGGGCGGGAGGGGAACAGACGGACCTCCGGAACCAACCTACACGGCGAAACGGACCTGACAAAAACAGCGCACACACCTAAACCCCACAACACGTTACGGAGAGGCACGCGGGGAAAGATTAGGGACCTATGGGGAACTAGTTGATGCCAGACAAAAAACAAAACAATTAGTTAAAAAACAGGATTCAGTTCCTCTACCTACTGTTCGTGCGATTGTGCCACAACAGGCCCGTGTTCCAGTCAGCCACAAGGGCATAAACGGCTTTCAAGTTCCATCGAATTAGATGCACAATATGTTTAACCTCACCAGACAACCATCAAAAAGAAGAATACCACACCTGCAAGACGTGGGCCTGCCTGATTCATATGTCATGACTTGATGCACTTTCGCTGCAAACGTTGCTGCAAAAAACGGAGGTTTCTGGTAGTTCGAAGTGGCTTCACTCAATAGAGATGCATTCACTGGGTTCATAAAGGACAGCCGGAAACGCGGGACATCACAAAAGGTGCAAAACGGAAAGGCCAGCTGTTGCACATTACTTAAACGAATTACTGAGTTAAAATGTGTGAATTCAGAGTTCAAGACTGTCGACACTCACCCTGAAAAGGGTTGCCTCAACTGGCTCCATGGCACCATGTCGGAGCCACCATGGAAATCACACTAGACAAGAATGGATCATTATATGATCCGGCAGGAACTGAATCCTGAAACATGCAAATTAGATATGAAACAACGAAATTAACAATGCAGGTACGTTTACACGGGTCCCGGGGGGGTGTCTTCGGTGGCCACCGACCCCCCCGGGACCCCGGTGGCCCCCTGCATTGTAATTAGAGTTAGAAAGGGAGAGGACAAAGGAAGAAAAAGAGAGAAGTTTTACATCTATTTAGATGTTACACACACACACACACAGACAGACACAGACACACAGACATACAAACCCGCCGGGTTGGAAATGGGCCGAGTAAAAACAGCATTTTCATGTGACTGGCAAGAAGTCAATCATGCGTTTCGCAGTGTTTTTTCATGTTTTTATGTTGTCCATGAAGGTCAATTCTATTGTGATTTTGAATTTTCATTGGGATTTACTGTATATAGTTGACATGTCGGAGTGCGAAAAAGGTTCCTTTTGGGAAGTCAGCGTGCCCAAAACCTCAGCGGCAGCCATTTTTTCCGGTGATCTCTACATCTTCGCTAAGTACGCACCTGTTTTCTCCAACAGGGCTTTTCCAACTACATTTGCCTCCCATCGCCACTGCCATGTGCGAACGTACGTCCAAATGAGGTCATTCAATTGTTGTTCAACTGATCGGGAACACTGGCAAGTACGTGAACGTTATTACCCCGCCCCACCCCACCCCACCCCTGCGTGACGTGACACATCTTCAACGTAGCATGACGTATGTGCGCACGTGCAAGTGAACGTGCCGTGGCGGAACATCATGGGAGTGCGCAAGTACGTGAACGTTATTGCCCCACCCCACCCCTGCGTGACGTGACACATCTTCAACGTAGCATGACGTATGTGCGCACGTGCAAGTGAACCTGCCGTGGCGTAACATCATGGGAGTGCGCAAGTACGTGAACGTTATTACCCCACCCCACCCCACCCCAAGGAACATATATAAAAATGCCTAAAACGCTCGGACGGTTTTCAACCCGTAGGCACATGCATGCATGCATGCATGCATGCATACATACACACACAGACATACATCCATCCATCCATCCATCCATCCATACATACATACATACATACATACACACACACATACAGACAGACAGACAGACAGTCAGACAGACAGACAGACATACATTCATTCATTCATACATACATACATACATACATACACATACATACATACAGACAGACAGACGGACAGACAGACAGACAGACATACATTCATACATACATGCCCACACATGCATACAGACAGACAGACAGACAGACAGACAGACAGACAGACAGACATACATACATACATACATACACATACACACATACATACATACAGACAGACAGACAGACAGACATACAGACAGACAGACAGACAGAGACATTCATACATACATACATACGTACATACATACATACACACACATACATACAGACAGACAGACAGACATACATTCATACATACATACATACACACACATACATACATACATTCATGCATGCATGCATGCATGCATGCAGACAGACAGACAGACATACATACATACATACACACACACACATACATACATACAGACAGACAGACAGACAGACAGACAGACATACAGACAGACAGACAGACATACATACAGACAGACAGACAGACAGACAGACATACAGACAGACAGACAGACATACATACAGACAGACAGACATACATACAGACAGACATACATACAGACAGACAGACAGACATACATACATACATAGATAGATAGATATATAGATACATACATGCACATACATACAGACAGACAGACAAACATACATACATTCATACATACACACATACACACACACATACACACATACATACAGACAGACAGGCAGACAGACAGACATACACACACACATACACACATACATACAGACAGACAGACAGACAGACAGACATACATACACACACACATGCACACATACATACATACAGACAGACAGACAGACATACATTCATACATACATACATACAGACAGACAGACAGACATACATTCATACATACATACATACATACACACACACATACACACATACATACAGACAGACAGACATACATACATACACACACACACATACACACATACATACAGACAGACAGACAGACAGACATACATTCATACATACAGACAGACAGACAGACAGACATACATTTATACATACATACATACAGACATACATACATACATACATACATACATATATACACACATACATACATACATACAGACATACATACATACATACACACACATACACACATACATACATACATACAGACAGACAGACATACAGACAGACAGACAGACAGACATACAGACAGACAGACAGACATTCATACATACATACAGACAAACAGACAGACATACATACATACATACACACACATACACACATACATACAGACAGACAGACAGACAGACATACATACATACATACACACACATACACACATACATACATACATACAGACAGACATACATACAGACAGACAGACATACAGACAGACAGACAGACAGACATACAGACAGACATGCATACATACAGACAGACAGACAGACAGACATACATACATACACACACACATACACACATACATACATACAGACAGACAGACAGACAGACAGACAGACAGACATACATACATACATACATACACACACATACACACATACATACAGACAGACAGACAGACAGACAGACATACATACATACATACACACACATACACACATACAGACAGACAGACAGACAGACAGACAGACATACATACATACACACACACACATACACACATACATACAGACAGACAGACAGACAGACATACATACACACACACATACACACATACATACAGACAGACAGACAGACATACATAGATAATATATACATATAATATATAGAATTTTTTTCCTCCACCTGAGTCTCACAATTCTATGATATGACGATGGCTGCTGTGCCCCTCCGCCGCTGTCGCCGTCCCCGGAGGCGCCGAACTCGGCGCCATGGCCGATGGGGCGGAACCATCGAGGCCGAGGCGTTTCACGCGCAGTGCTCAGTTCTGGTGTTGCTGTTGATGTTGTTCTTATTCTCTAATTATGATCATAATAATCATATAATATAATAATCATTGATAATAATAATATAATATAATATAATCATTATAATAAGATTTTACAATATAATATAATAATCATTGATAGTCATTGGTTGTTGATGACATTTAGACATGACTTTCACAAATAATCATGGCTCGTTCTTCTGATTTTTTTCTTCGTGCGGCGCATAGTTCTCGCTGGAGTTGTTGTATAGTTGCCAGCTCCTTCTGTTTGTTGTTTTTAAATACCGTTGGTTACTTGCCAAATGCCAAACGGCTGTTTGATTGTCCATAGCGGTCAATCGCTTAGTTGTTGGATGGATGACAATTTGCAGGAACCTCGAAATTTTGTTCATGGTTTTCTATGCATACCTACCTACACACATATATGGATAGATCTTCCCAACAGAACCAACCCAATGCTACCCGGCAACTTGCTTGAGAAAATTGTCAAATCAGCTGCTGTCATCTTAAATCCTAATTTTTTCATGGTGGAATCCGGAAAATGCCACAGCTTCCATGGATTTTCCATGGCTTTACCATGGCTTTTCCCCATTTCTTCGTCCATTTCGAACGGCGCCCAGGTTCTCTGACACGCCGACGGAGGCCGCGGCGTCGCCCGCGCCTCTAGGGACATCCACGCCCCGTGTGGTGCCACCCTCGGCGTCGCCCAGCACCTCGAGCATTCCGCCGCGGTTAGGCGCCACATTGCCAGATGGGTCTGAAAATTGTGCTTATGTCGAGAAAGATGTATTTTTTAATGTTTATATTTCAACATATTTCCACATTAGTTTCACATATGTTTCACATATATATATATATATATATATGATATTATAATATGTAAATATTTCGCAGTATTTATTTATTGAAATAAATATAGTCCAGCGTTCCAGTTCCAACCCCCCTCCCCCCCAGCCATGGTCATGGTTCAGTAATAGTACCAACCCCCTTCCCCCCTGTGGTGTGGTGACAAATGATATATGATATCTGATATATAAATATAATATATATATATAATTCGTATATTATATAAATGATATGTGGGATTCATAGGATATATATGATAATATATGTATATGTATTTTTTTGATATATATACATATATGATGTATATAATATATGTGATATATATATATATCCGATAAATATGATCTATTTGTGAAATATGATGTATGTATATATATATATATGCGATATATATGATATGATATGATATGATATGATATGATATGATATGATATGATATGAAATGATATGATATGATATGATATATATATATAATATGATAAGAGATAGATAGATATATATGTTTACACATATATATATATATATATGCGACATATATGGTACACATAGATTATTTTATTTTATGTATCATATATATATATATATGACACACACGCACATACATACGATATACATTATGTATATGATATATTTACTGACACTATATATATATATGTATGGTATTTGATGTATATATATATATGTACATATGGTATATGATATGTATATGGTATTTGACATATATATATATATATTTACACACACACACATATATATATATATACATGATCTATCATGTATAAATATATATGGTACATTGAGAGAGCATGTGTACTAATGTAGGTCGTCTAAAAGGTAGCATATACCTAGTAAATGAGAGGCTGGAAGTCAGAAATGCTGCAAATACCTTGTAAATACGAGGCTGGACCTCAGAAATGCTGCAAATAGCTTGCAAATAGAAACCCATGCCTTTGGGGGGGGGTAGGAACACGGAACACGAGACCATATACACTATGCATGTCAGTATATTTCACATATAAGCCTGGTATAACTCCCCAACAAGCCTGGCCAACCCATATGTGAAAATCCAGATTTTTTTAAGACGTGGCTTAGTAGGTTTCAATCTGTCAAACTTGCTTTGGCGGGTTGAATCCCAATTTTTGAGCCACGCCCATCTTCGAAAGCGTCAGGTTTCTCCGCAACACCTCCTCCAGTGAGACCGTGGGACGCCCATGATGTTGTCATGTCTGATTATGTTATCCAATTTTTGTTTTGCAGAATCTGACATTCACAGCTGTGTATCAATAAATACATAAGTAAATATATGTATGTATATTTACATGTGGTATATATATATATATATGTATATATATATATGTTTTTTTTCCCATTATACCATATCCCACTATATCATTGGGATATTTACACATCTCCAAGAGTTGCTGAGACCGTAGCCCCCAACGAGGCACATGCCAGCGGTGCATCATTCCCAATGGTCTCCGCAGCAGTTGGGGCCTCGGGCACCTCCAAAAATAAGGGGGTTAACAAAGGATCAAGGAACCAATGCCAACTAACAGACATCAAGAAAACATAATTAATTAAAAAAAACAATCAACATCAACCAAAACCAACAGCTTAAACTACCCTAAGCGGTAATCAAACCTGGCAATTTCAAATCCACCATTTAGTTCGATGATTTTCCCAGCTAGAAACCTCAACAACATGTCCGTTGCTAAGGAGTTCCTGGGGCCCTGGTCCGGGTGCTCCTGGCGGCGGCGGCGGCTGGGGAGGTACGGGCACCTGGATGTTTCGGGTTTCGACTGGATGGTGAATGTGTTAGTGGCAGGGAGTTGGTTCCCAATTTATGCAATTTTCCCGGGTAAACCTGGGGTGGTGGGAAACACCATGGTGTTTCACCATGGTGAACCATATGGATCAATGGCTTCATGTGGGTCGAAGCTGCCCCGAAGGTGATGGCTGGGGAGGAGGCGCCGTGAAAAGAGCTGTGCTGCTGTGCTTTGTTTTCTGTCCAGGCAGGAGGTGCTGTGCACATCGCCCAGTCGCCCAGGTGATTGGGGATGGGAGGACACTCCCTGCACAAGACTCAGCACTGTCAGGGGTGACTTTTGGGGCCAGCCGTCAAACTTGGCAGTGGGAACTCCAATGGTTTGTTTAATTTTAAATAGGGGAACTTAGAAATGGAACTATTTTTTCCCCCATTGGTGAGATGAATGCAGGAAATTTGCCCATTTTTGCTGGACATTTTCCATCATCCCCATGTCTGATTGTGCATCGGATGAAACTTACATTCTGCGACTTGTTTAGTTCGGGGAAGGGTCAATTCCAAGTCCTGTTGGTTGAATCACCATATTGTTTGATGTTGAGTTAGATCAAGTTAGAGCCCTGACATTTTAAGTGCCGGAAACATATCAAAAAATATATGATTTCCATGATATGCACTGCTTGAGTCCCAAATTTCTCCTATTTCCGATGGTTAAATCATGTTAAATTCCGAAAAAAACTAAGCTTTTGACGTGCACTTCAGGTGCCGCAGCTGCAGCCATGTGGGCTGCTTGGGGCAAGGGAGGTCCACCAGGTGGATTCGGCGGCCATATGGGCTGCGCCGGTCAGGCGTCCGCGACTCAGGTCCCGGTTTTGGCCGAGAAGCCATCAATGGATGTAGAAGCCGTTAGTCATCCATGGATTTTGGCAAAAGAGCTTCTACATTGACAACCCATTTCATTTTATCAACATGGGAATTTCGTGGGATATGATTGACATGAATTAACCCTTGCCGCCTAGGCTTTCAAGGCCATTTGCTGGCGTTGCATGTCATCAAGGGGTGTTCATTTATGTACCGTACATATCCGTGCATACACACATTCACATACACGTGTATATATACACATTATACATATATATAGATACATATGCAATTATATGTAATATTATATACATATAGATATATAATTCTATGTACATATACATATACACACACATATATATATATATTTATAGATATCCATCCGTCATGCGGAATCTTCCACTCTGCTGCATTGGTTATCCATCCTTAAATTCTCGTGCTTTTATACCGCATATCGAGAGTGAATTCATGAAATGTTGGTGGTTGAGGTGCTGTTTTGGAAATCGACATCACTTATCAGTTATCTTATCTTATATCATATTTTTGTAAATCGTTGCCCTGGGTAAGTTAACATCGATGCAGAAAAAACCATGGGGAATCCCTAGGAGGATGATCGATCTAGAAATGGTGGATTTTCCACATCGAAATTAGTTAGTTTACAGGATGGTAATTCCCAAGTTTGGAAAGTGAAATCAACATAAATCAACCGGATTTGGCGATTTCTTTTTGCTTTGCCAAGGAATGTGCTGATTGGCACGGTCAAGAGCTACAGTGCGGTCAAGGGTTTTGGGCTGGGATCCTTAGACATCGGCTGGAGGTCCAGGTGGAACCAGTAGGGCTCAGTAGGGCTCGGAGGGGTCGCCCATTTTTGGGACATATGTCATATACATGTCATATGGGTTTGTCTGAAAATGTCGTGTACCCCTTTTTACCCAATGGTTTTGCTGATCATTATCCCGTTTTTAAATGGCTATTTCATTGGGAATATACCCAACATTTTCAGACAAACCCATGTCATATACATGTGACACTGTGGCATATTTGTTTGACATGATTACGTTGATATGTTGAGTCACTAGTGGTTAAGGCCCGGTTTCCGCCCCAGCCGTTACAGAAAAGGAACGATTTCGGTTTCCCCGGTGGTTTCCCCGGTGGTTTCACCGGGACTTGACCTCGGGCCAGGTTCATGATCCATCCTGACATTTCGCAGGAATGGGTTGGGAGGGTGGCCCACTGGTGGCACTAGATGTTGTACCCGGCCTGGTAAACATACAAAAAAACTATGGAAAGATCCACCATTTTTAATGGGAAAATCCACTATTTCGACTGGGCCATTTTCAATAGCTATGTTAATTTACCAGAGGGTATCTTGCAGACCTTGCTTGACCAAGAAATGACTGGGGGCAAACTCTGGGGATTCTCTTGGTTGGCGCAGGACATCTGGTTTGCAAAGGAAACCGTAGCTGCGGAGTACAGGACACTGAGCCGCAGTGGCAGACTTCTTGCAAACTCGTAGCCCAATTATATGATATACATATATATATATATATACACATATTATAGATGTTGATTTCCAATTTCTGGTTGATGATCTTCCATGATGAGCTATTTGTGGTTTTGTGCCTTGGTCATGGCCATGGCGATGGCTCCGGGTGTGTTCCGCCCCGTTGCAATCGTCGGGAAGGCCATGTCTTTTTGGCTCCCAATTGTTGTGGTCGCCTCTTCGTTATCGGTTTTTCCGTGGTTTTTGGGGATTACCGGGGTATTTCTCCATGGTTTTTGCCATGTTTTTCCCTGAGCTGGGACGAGAAGCCGAGGACTTCGGACCTGGCTGGGACCACCATGAGCTTCGAACTCTTCCGAGCACCTGATGGCAAGCCCCAGGTGGGGATTCCACATCTGCAATGGGGATCATGGGGGAAATTCCATGGGGATACCATGAGGATATATATATGGATATAAAGCTATACTGTAATTATCTATATCTATTATATATCTCTCTCTTCTCTCTCTCTCTCTCTCTCTTAAGCAACTTGAAGTGATACAGTAGTTGGGTGCGACTTGGTGGCAGGGACAACTCGGAGGAAACCACATTTTGAAGGTAGAAACCTAGGTCTGGAGGGTTTCCTATAAAGGTTTCCACTGAGGACAAGGACCCCTCAGAGTATGGACAAAGGCCATGACCCTTGGGGGACTTTGACTTCACCAGTTCTTGATGTAAAAGTCAAGTCAAGTGGCACTTTGGTCGTTGCCTTATTGATTTCAAGTTGGTCAAAATCCCTGGAAACTCCGGAAAAATCCCTGCAAAGTCATGGGATTTTCCCGCAGCTTTCCACAGCAAACCCTGCGAGGCCCGAAATCTGCGCCCCGCCCCCGCGGGCGTTGGCATGCCACCGCCACCGGTGAACCCGAACCAGCACATGGCGGTGCGCTGGGGCTGGGCAGCTGCGATGTGATGTTACCATGTTACCCACTGGATGGGATTTATCATCTGGTAAATTATGGTAAATTAACTTGTTGACCCTGAAAATGACCAACAAAAATAGTGGTTTCACTAGTCTTCCAAACCCAACAACTGCCAGGGTCTAACAGGACCAACTTTCGGGAGTCCCAGGGTCGAAAAAAACGAGACGCATACAGCAGTGCTTGAAGAGGGGCCATGATGACTTGATGAGTTGCATTGTTCTGGGCAACTTAAAATATAAGCTACAACATCTTCAATATTCACATGTTGTAACGACACTGGCTTATGTGCCGGGTCAGAGCTGATTTCAAATCATGGAAGTCATTACAACATGCACTCAACATCACTCAACATCACTCAAAGATGACTGGGAACCAACAAGAACCTCTTGGAGGTGCATCCCACTTAAATGGCTTCTACCCCCAATATCCCCCAATGATATCTGGAATATCCATGAACATCCCCACTTATGGGATGACCGTGACCCATTGGGTTACACATGGATCACATATATATATATATATGCATATACATACATGCATAAATATGTGCATAAATATGTACATAAATATGTACACACACATATATATATATATGTATGTATGGATGCATCCCATAGTTATATGGATGAAATCCCCCACTTCCTTGGGATCCTGGATCCCCAGGCCCAGTCCTTCCCGGGCGCCGGCTTGGTGCGGCCTGGCTTCCCGCAGCCTGCGCTGCAGCTGCGGCCGGGCTTCCCGCTGTCGGCGGCCATGATGCGGCCCGCAGGCACCGGGAAGCGGTCCTGGAAAGGGAAGGACGGGAAGGAACTCATGGATCAGGGTGGATCATGACTGGTTGGGAGTGAAAATTATAGGTCTTAGATAGGTTTTAGATGGGTTTACATGAATTGTCCATGAATGATATCCAATAAATTCCAGTAATCATGATTCGCCATGACCAATTTAGATGGGTTTTAGAATCTTTGAACATTTGGGATGGGTGGAAAAACACTGCACTGGAATGATGAGTAAAAATGCGGGACATGTTTGAAGCGCCAGGCTTACCTGGCCTTGCAGTGCCCAGCCAGCCCAAACGAAGGGCATGGTCGCCGCATGTGTGGCATCCCAATGTGGACCTCTCAAAGGTCCTAAGGTCCTGGGCCGAAAAGCATCGATAAGCCATGGATTATCATGGATTGCTTTCCCATGAAAATGGTCATCAATCATCATCAATCCATGAACAGGGATTCATGAAATGGGGATGGTCATCAATCCATGAACAGGGATTTAAATACTTTAAATAGCCATTGGGAATCCCTAATGCCATGTTTATATATATATATATTATAGTAAATACCTAATATATTGGGAATATATATATATATACTATAGATATACCTAATATATTGGTGGGATATGGCGGGATGACCAGAACCCATGGCTGCCACGGCTGCCATGGCTGCCATGTGGCATGACGACGATCCGCCCTGGCTCCATTTGAGGCGGGCTCTCGGGCCATAGCAACAGCCTCCAAGGATGAAGAGGTGGGGTGCAATGGTGCAATTACCCTCTGGTAAACTAATATAGGAAAACCATAGGAAAATGGTGGTTTAATGGGATTCAATGGGATTTAATGGGATATACCCTCTGGTTATGTCAAAATAGCTATGGAAAGATCCACCATTTTTAATTAGGGAAAATCCACTATTTCGACTGGGCCATTTTCAATAGCTATGTTAGTTTACCAGAGGGTAGCTCAAGATGTGGGACAACCAAAGCTGGTCAGAAATTCGAGAAACTTGGAAATGTTGGAAGTTTTTTCCAAGACATAATTCATATAGAAAAATCATGAAAAAACATTTTTCAAGCACCTGCTTTTGTTTTTTTGTTCCTGTTCTGAACAATCCGACATGCACCCGGGGAAATGGCTGGTGACTAATTGATTTTCACCACTGTGTCTTTCGGAGATTGTTGGGTTTGTCTGAAAATAGTGTACCCCTACACCCAATGGTTAATGATCATTATCCCTACTAAATGGCTATAATTGGGGGTATACCCCTACTAAATGGCTATAATTGGGGGTATACCCATGTATACCCCATTTTCAGACATACCCTGTGGGTTCATTGAATTTCAGAGCTTTTGCCAGCGATGTTTTGAGAGCTTGGAGCTCAAGCAGGTGAAAATTGGTAGAAATCAGTGGCAGCTTGGTGCGGCTAAACTGCTGGAAATTCTGGGTGGATCCGCCTTCAAATGATATCATGTCCTTGGCGAAATGTCCAATTTCTGGGCTTTGAAATTTGAGATTCCCAATCTTTTGGGCATAACCCCACCATTGTTCACCCAATCTTCACCCATTTTTCACCCGTTTTTTCCATCATTTTCCAAGGGCATTCACCGATTCACCGGGCAACCCGTGCCTTCCAAAACGCCATGGCGGACGCCTCGGACGCCATGGCGGACGCCTCGGACGCCTCGGAAAGCTCGGAAAGCTCGGCGTCGTCGCGGCCGGCGAAGCAACGGCGCTTGGAGGTGCCAATGATGCCATGGGATGACAGGAATGACAGGAATGGTGCCAATCATAAGCCATCATTGCTGACAATCATGTATATATATATGTATAGGTAATTATATATGTATATATGATTGCATACTATATAATTATACATATTCATTTGTCATCATGTTGTATTATATATTATATAATTATACCATCACATCGTTGGTAATAAACTCAAGATATATCAAACGTAAGATTCCCATAGATTCCCCCCAATGCAAGGAACAATGATTTGCACCGCACAGCTGGACTGCCAGGTCCCGAGCTCGCTGCAGAGCCTCTTCGCGCGCAGCGAAGATCCACGTGCGCACGGGGGACGCACGCGGCGCGTGCCACACGTGGAGGGGAACTTTGCCACGCTGGTGACGAACTCAGGGCCTCAGGGGACAAAAATCAGGTCAGAGGGGTCAGAGTCATGGCTAGCCATAGTTTTCCCCATAATTTTCCCATAATTTTCCCATAATTTTCCCATAGGGGACATAGGGGGAAACCACCTTTTGGTGTGTTTATGGGAAAACGATGGGGATGTTGACTGGGTAGCCAGTCATTTCATGGGTGAATCCTAGCTGTCCTAGCAGTGAACATAACCAATATTTCACCAGCTTGGCATGATACATATAATGAGGATAAGGATATGATTGGCAAATGGAATGTAATGAGGAAAAACATATCAAGTCGATTCGATCTTTGGGTGTGTCTGAAGAATAGGGTACTACAGTAACTGGAACTCTTCGAGAAGGCGATGGAGAGAGTAACTGGAGAATCATGATGAAAATTAAAATTACAATTTTGGGGGTGCACACCATCAATTTGACAGTATCCAGAAATGTTTGGAAAATGGCTATGCTATGCTATGCTCCCAAAAACGGCAACTTTGATAAACAGTTTTGATTTAGGGGTTTGTTATTTTCAGACAAACCATATTGTCAGATTGGGGGCGAAGTCAGATCCCAAGAACTCAGCCAATTCTACGGAGTTTGGAGAAAGAACATTGCACGGTGAACTTTGGCACAACTCTTTGATCATTCATCAAATGTCACCAGCCCAGCCGGTAGTTTTGTGGGACGCAATCCACGCAGGTTTTCGTGCCCATCAAGCCGAAGTGGCTCGCGCATGGTGGTGTGATGAGTCCCTGGTGGAAAGGGTAGAACACGACCAGAATGATAAATGCTATGCTATCGGATAGAATATCCGATAGCAAATCACCTGCATGTCAGTAAAATATCCAGGACAATCTATCCAAACATCAGAATGCAGCTGGGATGATGGCCTGATGTCTTGCGCACACTTGACCATGGTTCAAAACCATGTCTTCCTCAATTAGCTAGTTCAAAAATTGTCAATACCTCCCAGAAAGTATCAATGTTTTGTGGACCCATATTTAGAGCCATAGCCATTCAGCCGCAGTACTGTCGTTTAGCATCCCCAGTCTTGTTGGTTACATTACGACTTGTTAGTTGAATCCCAATAGTGGTTGCGGCTTGAATCCTGAATCTATTTGCTTAGATCCAGAATTTCATTGGCTAATTTTTCAGGCATTTTTGCTAGTGCTGCATTCTAGTTGCGTAAATCCAACATTTTGCCGGCTTCTTTCGGTAAAACCCAGTGGATTTCGCCGATGTTTCCCCGAGGCCCCTTTGGGAGGCCATTGGCAGCGCAGCGGTTGCTGCCTTGCAACGCTTGGGCGCCAGTGAGGCGACAATGGTGGCAAAGGAGAGCCATCGATAGTCATGGTATATGGCCATACAGCCATGGTATATCTAGAATATATATGAGTGACGATCAAAACCCCCGCAGAGGAGTTTTATACAAACGTATGAATGGAGTATGTTGTTGTAAATTTGTAGTCCGTTTTGCCTGGGAGGCGCAAGAAAGCGCAAGGGCGGGCGCAAGATATATTAATATATTTAATATCGTTGTTCTTTTCTGTATCAGTGAACATCTGCTGCTGTAGCGGCTCAGAGCTGGTAGGCAGGACAGACGGAACCATACCTACCAAAACGGAATCAAATTCCAAGAGGTATGGTAGAAGCAGAGTGTATACACAATTATACACATATAAAATTTGATTCCCAAAACGGCCCTTTCGAGCCGAAAAGCAGCTTTACGGGAATCAAATTTCAAGAGGTATGGTAGAAGGAGAATGTATACACATAGGAAATTTGATTCCCAAAACGGCCCTTTCGAGCCAGAAAGCAGCTTTACGGGAATCAAATTTCAAGAGGTATGGTTGAAGGATAGTGTACACACATAGAAATTTTGATTCCCAAAACGGCCCTTTTGAGCCAGAAAGAAGCTTTACGGGAATCAAACTTCAAGAGGTATTTTGGTAGAAGGAGAGTGTATACACATAGGAAATTTGATTCCCAAAACGGCCATTTCGAGCCAAAAAGCAGCTTTACGGGAATCAAAAATTCAAAAGGTATGGTAGAAGGAGAGTGTAAACACATAGAAGGTTTGATTCAGGTTTGATTCCCAAAACGGCCATTTCGAGCCAAAAAGCAGCTTTACGGGAATCAAATTTCAAGAGGTATGGTAGAAGGAGAGTGTAAACACATAGAAGGTTTGATTCCCAAAACGGCCATTTTGAGCCAAAAAGCAGCTTTACGGGAATCAATTTTCCAGAGGTATGGTAGAAGGAGAATGTATACATATAGAAGGTTTCGTTGGATTTAGTGAAGTTGTTTGCCTTTGCAATGCCTGTTTTGAACCCAAGTCTGGCGCAAGGTAAGCGCAAGTTTCTCTTTAGGTTGTTTTGCCAAGTTGGACAGGCATCGCTACAAGGCTCCGGAAAAAACATTTTTAACACCTCCGTAGCTTTTGGTATCTTTTTGAAAATTGATTCCCGTAAAGCTGCTTTCTGGCTCAAAATGGCCGTTTTGGGAATCAAACCTTCTATGTGTTTACACTCTCCTTCTACCATACCTCTTGAAATTTGATTCCCGTAAAGCTGCTTTCTGGCTCAAAAGGGCCGTTTTGGGAATCAAATTTCCTATGTGTATACATTCTCCTTCTACCATACCTCTTGAAATTTGATTCCCGTAAAGCTTCTTTCTGGCTCAAAAGGGCCGTTTTGGGAATCAAAATTTCTATGTGTGTACACTATCCTTCTACCATACCTCTTGAAATTTGATTCCCGTAAAGCTTCTTTCTGGCTCAAAAGGGCCGTTTTGGGAATCAAATTTCCTATGTGTATATATTTGCCTTCTACAATACCTCTTGAAATTTGATTCCCGTAAAGCTGCTTTCTGGCTCGAAATGGCCGTTTTGGGAATCAAATTTCCTCTGTGTATACACTCTCCTTCTACCATACCTCTTGAAATTTGATTCCCGTAAAGCTGCTTTCTGGCTCGAAATGGTCGTTTTGGGAATCAAATTTCCTCTGTAGGTAGAGCTCCCCAGAATCTTCAAATTCTGAGAATTCGAGCCCCGAATCATCAGATTTTGCTTCCGAAGGCTAAAAAAGTCTGTGTTGCACAGCGTACTGGATCAGTGAACACCCCCTTGAATTGAGCAACTTTTTGCGGCAATCACTTCTTAAATACATATTTTAATCTATATAATGGAACACAATAAAAACCCTGAAGAGCGCAAGGAAGCGCAAGGGCGGGCGCAAGGTCATTTCTAATAACACACCGGCAACTATGTTTTGATCAACCCCCATATATATATATATACACATATATATATACACATATATCATACTTGCTTATCAATGTATATTGATATTTAGCATGTATATCAGTGATATTTTTGTTGTTTCTATATGGAATGTTGAAATGACGTATATAACAATATCAAGAATGCTGTACAGCAATTATTTATGCACATAGTTATTGGATGGTTATGTATCAGATATCTATGAAATGTGATGCAACCACAGGTATTAGCGTCAGGAAGCAATGTGGTAAACCCAAAGCCACAACCACTTAACCAGTATTTCTTGATGTTGATTTAGTCTGGTAAATGATGTATGCATCTGGTTTCCTGGAGCAGAGGTTGAACTTTCATTGGGTTTGTTTGACGGAAAAATGCGGGACACCATTTTCCTTAACCACCAGATAAAACGCATTTCTTGTAATTCTTCGCGTCATCCACTACTGCAAACCAATGATCACCATTCAGCAAACAAATCTGAATGATGCGAAAGCCAGTGGTCGAACGGGTGCACATGATCGCACATGGGAGCTTTCCAATTTGAAAGGCAAGTTACCCTCCGGTAAATTAACATAGACCCTGGCAGTCATCGGGGTTGGACGATTAATTTCCATTAAAACTAGGCTATTTTCAGGGTAATTATTGTTAATTTACCAGAGGCTAATTTTCACGTTTGCATTTGGGATTTTCCATGTTCAGCATGAAGTTATTTGCTGTACGTTGCGCTTAAATTTTAGTTGCTGAAGGGTAGAGATGGCTAGAGATAACCCCATCATTATTTTGGGGTGACCAAGTCGCAGAGTGGGCACTGCATTCTGAGAAAGATGTTTGGCTTTGCGTTGAACATGCCCTGCTATTGGTTGAGGCATGTTGAAGTGCAGAACAGTAGTTATCTCGAGGGGAAGACCTGGTGCCCTTTTCATCCTTTTCATTTGCTGAAATTGATCTGTGAACAGATTCAACATGATTCAACAACAGCATCCAGTCCAATTTTTGTGAAATATCTGCCAGAAACAGCAGTGTTTCCACAATCCATTTCCATCCAATTTTTTGGTACCCGCTGGCCAGGAGGGAACAGGACCATCCGACACCCCGTGGCTAGACGAAACGTCCCTGAACTTGATGGCGTAGAATCGTCGCAATTCGAAAGCAGTGGGCATGGTTTTAAGATTTATCCCAAATGTAAAAACTGGATCATTGATGGCGGGATGGTTTACAGACCACAAGCTTGACCACGATAGACCACTATTAAGCCTGGTTGATGTTTGCCAGGATGGCACATCAGCCTCTCACCGCTGTTGATGCTGCGGCGGCAGTTCATTCGACCCTTCGAGGAGAGGCGCAGTGCTCAGCCAGTGCTGGAAGCACTTGACATTCGGAATTAGCGTAGAAATTGACATAGAAAAAGTATCGTTGTATGGTGTTGTATGCATATGTATATACACACATATATATATATACATATACATATGCTTGTGCTTGTTCAGCATATATATATAATTGTATGTCTATGTGTGCGTGAATGTATTTGTATATTATATCTATATACATATTTGTTGTATGTATACACTATATGCATGTATATTCATATGCACACATATGTATTTACACCCGTAATGTATGTATATTAATGTATTCATACTACGTATAAACCATGTATGTACATTATGAACATTTATAAACACACTATACATACTTACGCATACAAAACAACATTATATCATATGTATGTATATATATATGATTACACATAGAAATAACACACATCTTAGTGTATAGATATTACCTAGATATGTATGATATACCCATGCCATACATGTAGCAACTTGGCATTTGTAGATTCCCTATCCGTCCAGGTTACGGAAGGTGGTGGATAGCTTGCAAGTCCCTGAGAGCCTGCAGGAGCCAAAGGTGGTGGAGGGAGATCTGCCAGGGTTTTTTTCAAACATGTGGGGGATAACCGGATACCCAGCTGCAAATTCCAGTTGGACAGAAAATGGATCTACCATCTGGTTATTTAACATAGCCATGGAAAATCACAATTTTTAATAGGTAAACCATCTATAAATGGGCAATTTTCCATGGCTATGTTAAATAACCAGAGGGTATAAAATTGCAGTTTCCAATCGGAATGCCACTTTGGGATGTTGCACATTTTTTCGGGTTCCTTTAGGGTTCTTCACTTCGATTGTCCTGGAATCCGAACTCGGCAGGAGCAGATTTGGTTCAACGAGACTTTGGATGTTTTCGCCTCACCAGAAGGTGACCGTAGCTCAGCGTTGAAACTTGAATCTGGAGCTTCGCAGGGCTGTTTACCATGCTTTAGATCACCGTCATTATATTTGCAAAGATTATGGTGTTGAGGTTTGGCCTTTCCAAATAATTTTGGAAGGTCAGATTCACGATGGGTAAAGGATTCCAACGCATGCCGAGGATACTTTGCAGGAGCGGCTTGGCTGGTTGATTGAAAGCCTTGGAATCGGGCGACTGTCGCTGCCATCATTATTGCTATTATGGTTATCATCATCATCACCATAATCATGATTGTTTTTTGTTGACTGACATTGTTTGTCAAATTCCATTAGCTACTACTAAAACGAGGGGGACCCCTCCAAATGGTAAACACGGTGATCTATTTTTATTATTAGGGGGTATTTTGTATCAGGGTGCCCCTAATATTCCAATGAAAACCCTAATAATAAAAAATAAAACAAACTCGATTTCAAATTTGATTAAATATCTTATTAAAATCTATATAAACTTTGCCAAAAACTGGATTTCGAAGCTTTCCCCTAATATTCCAATGAACACCTTAATAAAAAAATAAAGAAAACTCGATTCAAATTTGATTAAATCCCTTATTAAAATCTATATAAAATATTGCCAAAAACTGGATTTCGATGCCTTCCCCTAATATTCCAATGAAAACCTTAATAATAAAAAAACATAAAAAAGTTGAGATGGACCCCGAATAAAAAAAAAACCAGGTACAATTCGATTTTTATTAGTAGGGGGTTGAACCCATTGTTTCACAATCCTGTTCTGCTATTGATTCTCAATTACCACAATTAAGAATCCAATTGTGCCCAACCAAAGAAAGCCGGAAGTGCCACACCAATCCTATTTTTTTTCCTATTTGGAGGTGTTTTAGTAATAGAAAGAAGGGATTAACACGCATGTAATATATATATATACATACTCATATTGCGTGTAACATAAGTGTGCAATAGTGTGCACACACACACATATATATATATATGTATATACACATGTATATACACATGCGCACACGCGCGCGCACACACGTATACGCGTACACATTGTCTAGATAAATCAATACTATAGATAAGTAGAGAGAGAGAGAGATATATATGTCCTTATGTTCACAGGGATAAACATGAATCCACGTTAATTTCAAACTTAGCTCTGGCTTAAGAGTAGTCAGGGCATGTGGGGCCACGCCACTGGGTGCGCGTGTGGCCTTTGTAGTAGCTTCCCGCGCCTGTTCTCTTTGGTGGCAGCGGGGAGTAACTCTCCAGGATTTGTGCCTTGGGCAGCCGACCGAGTTAGGTTGCTTGAGGCGGAGGTGCGAGACGAGCTTCAACGCCGAGGAGCTCCAGCGAGCCTTTTTCAAGGGGGCGTGGCCGCGGCACCAGCGGCGGAGGCTGCACCTCCAAGTGGTGTAGGGGAGAGTCCGGGTGTTGCCACCACCCCATCTCCCAAGGAGCCGGTAGCTGCCCCGGCGAGCGTTCTTCAAACCACTGCAAAGGTGAAACCAACTGAGCCTCCTAAGGGCTTGCAACCACCGCCACCCGTCGTTGAGCCCAAGAAGGAAGAACTGCCACATCACAAGGAGACCCAGGCTGAGGCACCAAAAGAGGTTCCAAGAGCGGAAGCGGCTTCATCAGCAAAGGGGCCTAGCAGGAGCCGACATAGTCCCAGGTCCGAGAAGAAGGATAGCCACAAGTCGAAGCGTCGGAGTCGCAGTCGCCGAGCCAGAAGCCGCCGCAGAAGCAGAAGCCGTAGGGGAGGAGATCGTTCTCCCAACGCTGGACGAGGAGGTCGCCGAGATAGGAGAGAACGAAAAGAAAGGCCGCCTGAGCCGGATCATCCCCCACCTTACCTTGCGAGTGGGCGGAGTGATCGTCCACCTGAGCCTGCGCACCCACCTCGTGGCAGGGGCTGGATTGGTCCATTGCCGGTGACTACGCATCCAAGGTGGACGTGTGGGACCAATAAGGGTCAGGTGCGGCGTGCCAAGCAGCAGCGGTTCAACGACCGACGCCGCCGCAGGTAGGGGAGCATGGCTCCCAAGTTGAGAGGCGCGCTTAGAAGACCGGCTGCACGCCCTGGGGTCCTGAGGAGACCAGCTAGCCGAGCGGATGAGGAGGAAAATCCGCCGAGGCCAGGTGAGCGGCCGCTTGCTGGGCTGACCTTGCAACAGCTGAAGCAGCTGAAAACGGTCTGCCTGAGCGATGCCAGATACTATGGGCGAGTAGTCCAGGTGGCAGGCCTTGTTGCTGGGACCAGCATGGAGGATGGAGAGCTCTTTGTGATGTTGGAGACCACGGGCACGAAGGATGATGAGCTGTTGCGGGTGTTGAGTGGCACCCCGGGGAGGAAACTCAGGGTGCACATCTGCACAGAGGGGTGCGAGGGGCTTCTGACAGACCCTCTCCTTGTGCATGGCCACAGCTTTGAGGAGGTGAATTTAGATCGCCTTCCATGGCTGACCAACTTGGAGGCAGCCCGAGGAGTCCCAGCTGGAGGTGGTCCCGATGAGTTGGCCAAGCTCAGAGAACTGCAGGCCAAAGTGCGCGAGGAAGAGAAGCGTGGTGACAAGAAGGTTTCCAAGAAGGAGAAGAAACGGAAGCGGCTTGAGGAGAAGAAAGGCGACGAGGGGAGGGCTGAGGAGCCTCCCAAGAAGACAGGAGGAGACCTGGTGGTGGGACAGAAGGCATTAGAGGATGTCTTCAGCGCCACGGGGCTGGATCCTAACCCCGAGAGACGGAAGAAGATCCTGCGGAAGGCAAAGAGGCTAGGAAAAGGCAAGAAAAGGAGGAAGAAGAAGAGTTCTTCGAGTTCAGGTGACACTTCGGTATCGTCTACTTCATCTTCAAGCACATCAGACGGCGATGATGACTCAGGGCTTTTTGGTGAGAACACCAAATTGCATCGCATCTGGAAGCGGTGCCCAGGAGCGCTCACAGCAGCGGCAGTAAGGGAGGCGAGGCAATCTCTGATGGACCAGACGGGGACGCTCTGGAACATCAACCAATCAGAGCTCCCTCCCATTTTCACACAATACTGCCGTCAGCAAGTTATTCTTCCCCATGGAGTTTCGCCGGCTCTGGTGCAGGAGATTCTGACACTTTCCCAGGTGTTGGATAGCTTGCTGCTTGGCCGAATAGCTGGATCCGCAGACATAGTCTGCCAACGCTTGAAGTCTTTAGAGACCTTGGCGAAAGGCTCCCATTGGGCCACAGGGCGGCAACTTGAACTAGTAAGGAGTGACCAGCACTCCATGGCAGAGGGCAGCGAAGCACTGGGTGCTGCCAAGCGCGCCCGGGAAGAAGAGCGCCTGAAAAGCCTGCTCAGCAAAGCTCCTACAGGCAAAGGAGGAGAAGGGATCTATGGCGGCAAAAATCGCAAAGGAAAAGCTACAGGGAAAGGGAAGCCAGATGAGGGAGGCAAAGGACGAGGAGGTGAACCAAGGAGTAAAGATGATGGCAAGCATGGCGTGCGGAAGTGACAGGAAGGGAGGTGAAGTAAATCTCCCAATGGCAAACTTTCCCAGTAGCAAAAGAAGGCGTGCGGCTTGCTTGGATGGTGGAATGGTGGTGCGGTCTGGTGATGATGTGGCGACGGAAGAAGGTTTGGGCAATGCAGATGGTGTGGCAGAATCAGAGTGGCAGCTAGTGGCAAACCGTATCACCAGCGAGGACGTTGAGGATCTACTTTTATGTGCCCAACGCGACGCTGAATTAATGCAAGGGAGGGACAGCAGCGAAGCCTGTGGTGTCTCCCAAACTTCTTTTCTGAATTCGTTTGAGGAGCGACAGGGGAGAGAGATTTCAAATGCAACTCTCTCCCAAGCACAGCGAGGCCGAGTGCAGCAGATGGTAGAGGAATTTTTGGTAGCACAGCATGATACTTGTGCTGTCAGAGACGTGGGTGGCTTGCTGTGGGATGTCCTGAATGAACTTGAAGATCATGGCTGTTGCAGACCCAGGCCCACGACAGGAGGGAAATCTATATTTCCATTACCTGTCTCAGGACATCCCATGGTGATGCGGCCTGGTGCAGAAAGCCTTCGACTTTTGGCTGCCTGCCTCAACAGTATGCATGGTGTGCCTAGCTCCAACCGAGGCCGACCGTCCTCTTTACGGGTGATGAAAAGGCTGCAAGGGATTGTGGGTGCCTCTAGAATCCTTGATGAGCCCCTGGGGGATTGGAATTTCTCCCAACTCTTCACTGTAAAAGGGGTCGACTATCAAGGAGAGGAGATTCGGTTGGCTCGTAAGGTGACCTGGGAGAGCATTGAGCCCTCTCTACCTCAACAAGTTGGTATGTTGGATTTGAGGGAATTTTGCAATGCAGGAGCGCTTCACTATGTCAACCATTTTGCGGAATTTCTTTTACCTGCCCCGGACCAGGTTTTGGGTAAACCACCCCGTGTTTTTGTTGATGATGCTGATTGGGAACGTTTGGCACGTGGTTTGTTGGAAAGGGGCCTTTGCGTACGTTGTAGGGTTGCTGATCTTCATCATGTAGGGCATGCTCCGCTGCTGAATGGCCTTTTCGCGGTTTCCAAAGAGGAATACAAAGAAGAAGTGGAGCTTTGCAGATTGATCATGAATTTGAAACCTCTCAACTCGATTACAAGACCCTTGGAAGGGGACACCTGTACTCTGCCCATGGTCACCCAACTATCGGCCTTATATTTGGACGACCATGAGTTACTAACTGTCTCCTCTGAGGACCTCAGATGCTATTTCTACCTGTTCGCAGTTCCGGAGGCCTGGTACAAGTTTATGGGATTTGGTAGGACTCTCCCTAAATCTCTGGTTCCTGATGGGGAGGCTGATGAGTCTTGGGTTCTATGTAGTCGGGTTTTACCTATGGGGTTTTTGAACAGCGTTGCCATTGCGCAACATTGCCACCGGAATGTGGTCCGGCGCAGCATGGGCAGTATGTATCCCCCTCGGGGGGGTGAAGGCGAGCTGAGACGGGACAGGCCTTTCAGCCACAAGGCTGAGCTCTTTAGGGTTTACCTGGATAACTTTGATGAATTAAAAAAGTTGGATAGGCGTACCTATGATCTCATTCAAAGGGGGCCCTCAAGTGTAGCTGAGCACCTAAGGGAGGCTTATGCATCATGTGGTCTCCCAACTCATCCCAAGAAGACTGTCGAACAGTCGCTCCATGCAGAAGTCCAAGGGGCATGGATTGATGGGGACCGTGGTACGATGAGTGCCAAACCTGGAAAGATTGCCAAGTACGTGAGGTTGACTCTTGAGCTTCTTCGTCAAGGCTGCGCTAGCCAGAAGGAGCTGCAGGTAGTTTGTGGCGGCCTGGTGTATGCGGCTATGTTCAAGCGTCCTTTGCTGGGGGCTCTGAACCAGGTATGGCATGCCATTGTGCAGATGGAGGATCTCCCAAAAGGCCGTAAGGCCCCATTGTCAAGGGAGGTCATGGCAGAGCTCACCAGGTTCCTGGGGCTCATCCCTCTGGCGTTCAGCGACTTTAGAGTGAAGTTTGATGAGATGGTGAGTGTGAGTGATGCCTCGACTGGTGGAGGTGGCTTTTGCATATCTAAGGGTCTCACACCATATGGCGCTGTAGCTGCGCTGAGCCATGTGAGGGGTGATATACCTGAACAACATGATCTATGTCAGGTCTTGTCGATAGGGCTCTTTGATGGTATAAGTGCCCTGAGGGTCGCTTTGGACCTGATCCGGGCACCCATGGCCGGACACGTGTCTGTGGAGTGCAATCCTCAAGCTCAGCGTGTGGTGGAAGCCAACTTCCCTGACTCGATCCTCGTGAACCAGGTGGAGGATGTCACGGAAGAGATGGTGCTGGAGTGGAGCCTCAAATTCAGCAATGTCGGCCTCATCGTGGTGGGGTCTGGACCCCCGTGCCAAGGGGTTTCAGGGCTTAACGCCGATCGACGCGGGGCGTTGAGGGATGCCAGAAGCAGCCTCTTCAGTCATGTCCCTCGCATCGTGGGCTTGTGCTTTTCCCTGGGCCCAGGTAAGGAGTCTCTCGGAAAACGCGGCATCAATGGATGCCCAAGACTGTGAGATCATGAACCAGGGGTACGGGGTGATGCCGTGGTACATTGACGCCGTGGGGATTAGCCTTGCTCATCGACCCCGCCTCTACTGGATTGACTGGGAGCTGGCATCCGAACCCGGGGTGAGCATCTTGGAAGGGAGTGATGGGCGCCTTCCAATCCAGGGAGAGGTCCAGCTGCAGGCTGCAGTGGAATCGAAGGATTTCCTGGAGCCAGGGGCCACCCTCATTGGAGCGTCACTCCCAACTTTCACCACTTCCCGACCATCCCTCAGACCTATGCGTAAGCCGGCGGGGCTCCGCGATTGTCTTCCTCATGAAGCTCAGAGGTGGAGAGACGACCAGCACAGGTTTCCACCCTATCAATACAAGGATTTGCATTGTGTCCTGCACCAAGGGGAGATAAGACCTCCCAATGTTCGCGAGCGAGAGGCAATCTTGGGTTTCCCGGTAGACTACACCAAGCAATGCATGCAGAAGGCTTATCATGGCTCCGCAGGACACCAAGATTGTCGTCTTACCCTGCTGGGTAACAGTTGGAGTGTGGGGGTTGTGGCCTGGCTCCTTAGCCAACTGCTGGTCTTACTGGGGCTAGTAGAGCCAACTTCTCTTGCAAAGCTGGTAGAGTGTTTGACTCCAGGTAAGGGAGGAGACCTCCCAAGTTTGCTGATGAGGCCATCTTTCAATCACTCCACGACGACCTTTCCTCTGAGCGAGGTGTTGGTACGGAAGATGGCAGGACTGGCATCTCTTAAAGGAGAAGACATCATGGTGCAAAGCGCCTCGGAAGTTCCGGTACGTTATCATCGGCTTCGAGCAAGTATACCAGCGAGACTCTGGAGGTGGAAGGTCATCGCTGGTTGGAGATGGGTTGGCAGCCCAGAGCATATCAATGTATTGGAAGCCCGTGCGGTCCTGACCACCCTGAGGTGGAGAGCGGAGCAACGGCAGCAGGTAGATGTCCGGTGCGTTCACTTGGTTGACAGTTTGGTGGTGTTGCACTGTCTCTCCAGAGGCAGATCTTCATCAAGGAAACTTCGCAGGACAGTAATGCGAATTGGATCACTCCTCCTTGCTACAGGTCTTCAACCCCTTTGGGGATACGTGGATACGCATCAAAACCCAGCCGACAAGCCGTCGCGCTGGGGAGTTAAAAAACGATGGGTAAAGCGAAAGTGAAGAGCCATAGTGGCCTGAGCAAGGAAGAGAGAAAGAAAGTTCGTAAGTCCCTAGGAAGTTTGAAAAGCCTCACTGTTCAACCAAAAACAAGAGAACGCTATGCTGGAGCCCTTGATCGCTTCCTCAAATACCTCACAAGGGAGAACCTAGTACTCCCAAAAGCTCGCGATGCTATTGATCCTTTGGTCAGTGATTATATCGAGTACCTCTGGAGTGAAGGGGAGGGGAAGGCTGAAGCTAGCAATGTGCTCGCCTCTCTGCAAGACACTGACCCCAAGTTGCGGGGCTGCCTCCCAAGTTCCTGGCGCCTTCTACGTACATGGAACGCCAATGAAATCCCCCAACGAGCCCCTCCTATGAGTGAATCAGTGCTTAAAGCAATGGTAGGATGGTCTGTCATGCATGAGCACTATGGATTTGCTCTTAGTTTGTTGGTAGGATTCCATGGCCTTTTAAGAACTGGAGAACTGTTGGGCATTCAAGCTTGGCAAGTTAATATCACAGGAGCTTGTTCTCCGGCTGTGATCAATTTGGGGTTAACAAAGGCTGGAAAACGCCAGGGTGCTGCTGAAAGCATCACCATAACTGAGCGCTCGGTGTTGCGTTGGTTATGGCTGTGGAAGCGCTCGGTTGGGCCCCATGATTTCCTTACCTGCAAACCTCATGCTTGGCGGTCACTTTTTAATGAATGTCTTGAATGTCTTCAGTTGTTGCCATGGGAATTTAGACCGTACTCGCTTCGAAGAGGCGGTGCCACCTTTTTGTTCACCAAATGTGGGTCCTTAGACCGTGTTCTTTTAGCTGGAAGGTGGACAGCTGTGAAAACAGCTAAAATTTATTTGAACTCCGGTTTGTCCATGCTGTCAGACATCCAAATCCCAAGGAAACTGTTGCTCCCGTTTCACAATGTTTTTGCTAAATGGCATGATGAAGTGCCATCGCTTGAGCACACGCCTTTCAGTCGTAGGACTGGGGGACGTGGAAGCAAACAATTGAAGTCGAAAAATCGGCCAAAACAAAAGGGGGGGCGCAATTTTTTTCTGCTTTTTAAGGATCCATGTGCTGCGTGCTTAGGGGGTTCCCCGGGGTGGCGGGGTCCCTAGGGAGCACGGGGGATACTTGTCTTCTTGGGTGTGGCCAGAAGATGAGTATTGCGCCCTGAAATGGTAAGGTTACCATTTGCTGATCCTTTTTTCTATGTGATTGTTTAACTTGATTCCTTTTAAATTGACAGAATTGGTCTGCAACGTTTTGAAAAGAGAGTGGAGTGAGTGT